GCCAGACTGTGATTTATGTACTCCTGACTTTGCGAGACCTTCAGGTGTCTCCTTTAGGTCTTTCACCGTTCCAATTCCTGATTTCCGTCACATGCGCAGTAAAATTAAAGTCTCAGCATTTACAACATTTACAATAAAGTCACTAAATTAGTTATAATAAATCCCATCATATAAGAATTAATTGTATGTATTAATTTCAATGAATATTACAGGACTTAACAATGTTTTGTTACATTTAAGTGTTTCGTACAAAAATATAGAACATTCAGCCTTTTCCTTTCTGGCTGTTGCCTTTATATTTTTTCGCTTTTTCTTTTAGCATATGAAATATTTCAAAAAGTTATTAGTTTTGAAAGAAAAGGAATAGAAATGCACCTCCTTCCCGGGTCCCAGAAGTCAAAACGTATGCACGCTATACATGAATATTAGCCTACATGGTCTACAATCATTGTGTAGACACATTAAATTATATTTTTATATTTGTAAAAACTGTAAGCACGTATAGGCCGTGGGGATGCGTTGCGCTGACCACGCGACACACTCTAGCCGCTAAAGTTGGCACTAACTTCGCTGACAAGCGGCGGTCGCTCGGTCGGTATAGTTCGCTTGCGGTCTGCAGGCCACGGAGTTTGTTTTGTTTGTAAGCACGTATAAATATAATTCAAGAAATTAATGTTCCAATTCCATGTGACCACGAGCGCCAAAATTGTTTCCACACTCAGCATACCGGTGCATTAGAAGCCCCATTTTGTGTTATTGTCTGTTTATGATGCAATTCCATTTGTGAGCATCTACTGCTGCTGCATTTGCCTCTTTCCTGCCCTCCAGCTAACCTCAAGTCATCAACTGTGCGTACCACAACCGCAACAGAAATCTAGAGACAGATGTACGACCGTGAATGCTAAGTGGCCAGAAAGAACTCGGAGGTGCGATCCTGTAAGGCCCACGTCCCGCAACATGTCCACAAAGGTCAAGTGAACTGACTAAGTGTTCGAAACAATGCAGCCTACGTCAGTTTTGTTAGATTACCGGGTTTTATCTCCTGGTGTAAACTGGAACACAGCAGCTCGCGGTGGACGTGTTCCATGTTCTCCCGCGGCGTCGACCCGTAAGGTGAGATGTTCCGAAAATGTCTGAACGCACGTGTGACCTAGTGATAATACGATTTAAAATCTTGAAAATAATATAGAGACAAGCACAACAAACAAAGGAGATAAGAAATGTGTTTCTTACTATTTACTGTACCTTACGTTTCGAAAATTGAAACCGGATTCATATTCTCTGCTTGGTTAAATACATTTCTTTCCATGAACAATTTCATCTCAATGTTTTGGAATCTGAAAAGCGTCACGGTCACCATTTTGTCTCAACACTTGATCTCTGCCACAGGTTCGCTGATTATGAGGTAACGCATGCGTAGACGCCAAATTCAGACGTAAATCCTCGACTTAAAGAAATTTCGGATTTAAGAAACACTTCTATACTTGCTGTAAACCCTCTTGCTCCTGAATCCCGGGGTCTTTTAAACATGTAGTCAACTGTGAGCAGAATTTTTCACTTTTTATATTTCGATCCGGATTAACAGTGACGGATTAGGTAGGGTTTACTGTATTTTGCTTCATTTAAGTGACTCGTAATGGCTACTTGTGCAGTAGAAACCATTTCAACATCGACTTGAAATTTCATGCTGGCTGCAATGTTGCTCTGCTCTGAGAAATAATTCCTTACGCTTGAAAGAAGTGAATACGTCTACATTCAGGCGAATGCATAAAAGAACTTACTACATGTCTTATAAAGAAGGAAGCATTACGCACGTAGGCACGATAACAGTGTTCGCAGTGTCGCCATCTTCCATGTCAGCTTATCGATATACCGCTTGCTCTTCACGCTGTCACGTGTTTGGTCCATCAAGTCAAATGCAAGAAATCTGTTGTACGATGGAAGCCGAAGTGGACAAATTATAACTTCGGACAAGCTTTAATCATTCGAAAATCTCTTTGTCTTTTATACAGACTATTTTCAGTAACAGTCACGTGGTTTGTAGCTTAATTTGGCGAGAAACTGTGGTTCTATGGAAGGCTGAAACCTCCCTATTTGTCTCACAGTTACCCACCTTCTATGGAGACAAAATTTGTATGTTCCTAAGGTCTTGACTGCCCTGAAGTTCGTAATTTACCTGAATATTTCTGATGACTTAAGGTCGCTTCCATTGAGTCTGCAAAACACACAATGATTTGTAAGTTATATATTCTTTTGCAGTTCGATAGTTTTCTTATCTCACTGTATATATTTCTTTTATTAACACGAGAAATGCCATGAAAATTGTTTCCACAACAAACACCCCATTGAATTGTAACACTGTGGCTTTCTGGGACGTAACTGCGTGTATTCTGGCAGACTGTTATTAATGTTTGGAAGCAACTTGCTGCCTGTAGCTTCAAGATGGAAAATATCTTCTTCTGTTCAGAAGATGGGGACAGCAAAGGCGGTAGAATATCTGACATCAGTTGTGGTAACAGATGCGACTCCCTTGACCCTTACCAGCTCCTACAGATATAACTCAACCCGTTGGAGAAATGTCTGAAAGACAAGAAAAATTCGTATACGGAAAAATATATTTTTATAGAGAGGGAAGGAACTCGCCATTCTGTAGCTTATGTTGGTGTCAGTGGTCGAGCATGCGCAATCCCCTCGATTCCCTTGAAGTCATGGTGAAGGTTCAATAGAATATGGCTGCCTTCAATGTTTCGTGGAGCTGAAATCAGTTACTTGTATTCAGCCTAAGTTTCCGTTAGTGCATGGAGGTTCAGCATTAAGCGTAACTCCATTAGGATAGGCTTCCGAGAGAAGTCGCTAGGACGGCCAACGTCATACAACGAACAAGAGCAGCTGATTAGTGGTGCGTTTCTGTTTAGGCTCGCGGAGCAAAGCAGGAAACAGCATATTCGCCGCTCCACACTTCATGGCTTTCAAAACAAATGTGTCCCGTTTACGTGCTTGCAGATTTTCTGATGGACCGGCATATCAAAAGAGGCGGCCGTCTCTGTAGAAAAGAGAATTTGTAAGGAAATATTGAAGAAGACTCAGAGTGATAGGGATTTCCTGGACTTTGTGTGTTTGTCTGGTGAAGCTATATTTCACTTGAACGATATCATGTACAGACATATAGAGGCATAATTTTGGATAGTCACCCAGAACAAGAGATTATCTAACATCAGTGGCAACACGCCGAAGGTTAACGTGCGGTATGGCATGATGACAGCACCACTGGACTTTTCTTCCTTCGGGAAGCAGCCGGGATAAGATATTCATATCTGATACATGGTTCCGGTAGGATGGAGCACCCCCTTCCAGGTTATTTTGAAAGATAGTCTGTGAGTTTTTAAACGAACACGTTCCGAATAAGTGGATTTAAATAGGCCACCAAGATCACCAGCCCTACCATGATTGGGCTTTCCCCTCTGAGTTTATCAATAGAAAACTGCAGACCTTCAAAATCTGAGACAGCATTACTGAGTCGATTGCAACAGTAGCATGAGGCGTGATATCGAATGTTGTTTGGCTGAACAACTAATGCTACCCACACTGAAACTTACTGTGTGCCAAGGAAAATTTCCAGTTCTGTGCTACAGAACCGTGAGACCTGTTCTTCTTTATATTTAAAACTTTTTTCCGTATACGATTTATTTTCGCCCTTTCTCTGACACTGCACATCGCTCATATTATATGAAGCCTGTATGTATGTAAGTATCGAAATGTATCTGTATAAAACAGAGTGGAACATCATATGCTAATATAGAGACCAAAGCTTATACGCCTCCGTCACGGCACCGAGCCAGCTTAGTCAACTTCTTATTTTTACTAACATCACATTTTCTTTCTTGTGCTTTTTACTTCTTCGTCTCTTTCTCTCTGTTTTAGTCGAACTTCAGACACTTTGCAAGCAATACTGGAACAAAATTTACGTGTTAGAGGGTGATAAATGGGAACTAGAGAGATTGAATAAGTTGAAAGAATTCGAGGTAAAAAAACTCAGCTGTTTTGTGAGAGTGTTTTGTTCCATCGAATGTTATTCATTGCTCTAACGTTTATAATGTTGTTGCTCATTTGTTCTTGCACCCCACACGCTGTGTATAAAGCTTATTTTCAGGATATGACGTGAGTCATTTGTATAGATTACACACTCCCCTACACAACGCCAAAACTTACTAGCATTGTTCCAACACACGAATAGTATGTAAACAACCGCCGGTAACAGAAACGTACCTAAAATGTCCTGCTATATCTTAACCTCAGGCCAACCCCAGCGTACATCAGACATGCAGAGCGCAGTTCACATAACTTGACGGAGACAAGCCGCTCTTGCCGTCTCTACCCAATCTATCATGTCATAGCTTAGGCGGTTAGTTGCCGGCTTCTCACCACAAGGGCCCTGGCTCAATCCCCGGGTTGTTTGTGTGAGATTTATGGTAGACATGCACTGAATGAGGTGTCTCTCCGAGCCTTTCCGTTTTCTCTTGTCTATCATTCCACTAATGTTGCGTACTTATCATCAGGGGTTGGTATAATAGGCCAATTTGTGGCCATAGTACCGGAAGACCCAATCTCACGAGCCCCCTAGAGCTAAGAATAAAACTATACGGGCAGGACGTGCAAGAGTCGGGGTTCGGTTCCCAGCAGGGGCACGGATTCCACTCTTTTCCATAGTATCCAGACCGGCTGTGGTGTTTCCAACGCTTTCACAAGTAAACATACATCATAAACAAAAAGTAAGAAACACTAAGCTGAAGTTATTTACTTCTCCGTTTGTAAGAGACACAATAATGCAACATACAATTTTCTAAACTTGCATCTCACAGCTTAAAGCCCTGCGTGGTTAGTGATAGTGCAGATGGCTTCTTGAGAGGCTGTGCAGTTTTATGTAATGCCCTCAGTAAACCATTTTGTTTTGTGTGTGCAACACCAGTGTACATTTCACTTGCCTATATTTACTTTTTTAGCCCAACTGAAGAGAATCGTCAAGGAGTATTATGATCGTGTGTATCTGTGTGAGGGTCAGAAATGGGATTTGGAACATGAAGTGAGAAAGAGGGACTGGGAGGTATGGCGATATGGAGGAGTGTGGGCCGAATTCCAATGCGCCTCCCCCACCTCCCCTCCGTGTGAAGTGGAAGGAATGTTGGCATTTGGCTACACTTCTTTATTTTTGAAGCCAAGTTTTTCCCCGTATAACTAGCTAGTTTCTCCGTGGAGAAGTCTGTAAACGCCTGGCCAGCCCTGGCTGAACGTTTGCATACTTCTGCAAAATTAAATTCCCTTTTCTATTTCAAAATGGTTGTTAATAAGAGGAGCAAATATCTAAAGAGAAACTCAGAAATTAAACGGATCAGATAGAGCTTATCCAGATTCTGAAAGCACCCCCTCTGGGTCACATTCTGGAGGGTCGTATATGAAGTGCTTCACTTTTCAGTATTAAAACCTACACAGAGACTTGACCACCCCCACCCCCCGAACTTTCCACCCCTCATCCTTCATGTAAATCGACAACTTGACATTAAGAAACAACGTTACAAAAAAAATGGCTAATGAGCCTAGCAATATACAATTCGCACACACTGTTGAAAAGACAGTTGCGAATCGCCTTGTCTTGGGCTCACGTAATAACATCCGTTAAAGAAGATTTAAGCTCGAGTAATATTTGAAATGCTCCTACACACCGAAGTGTGCAAGTTCGAAGGGCTGGTTAGGCAGTGACGTATCTTGTGATATATGTGTACTCCGCCCCCCCACATGTACATAGGCCTATATACACTGTAAAGAAGTTTGTACAAAATGATAATGCGTTCTGTAAAAATTGATATCAAGTCTATCAGTTCTGTGTGGTGCAAACTCCATTCTGAAGACAGCAACTTGTGCTGTATGCTGCGCTCAGTTACCATTTGTCGATAATTACAATATGCGCCAAAATATACAGTACTGAAAGTCTCCCATCTCGAACGCGCATGTACTTCTGATCCCATTGTTGTTTTGTGTTGCGTTGTTTTAGCTCCTGGATCAGCCCTGTTCTTGTGAAAGACATCAAAGACTGTTTCAGATTATTTGCAATCCCCAAATAATTCTCTAAACAGCTTCTTACTTTATTAAAACATTTGTTCGGTTCCATTTTTCTGTGTACATTTCTCAGGTCATGTTTTCCACGTCTGGAAGGCAGCGTGTGTGTGTGCTTACATTAGATCTGCTATTTGACACAAACTCTGCCCACGTGACACTCATTTTGTGACTCAAGATACTCCAATTAACATCACTTTGTGAGACTTTGTTTCGCGTCATCAGGGTAGCCTTCATCTCCGCGTTTCTGATACCAGAAAACGTAAAATTCAAATGTTGGTTTACATTTCCTGGGGAAATTCCTGGTTTCATTTATTTGCCTTCCTTGCTGTTATATAATTAAATTTAAATATCCAACATTCTAACAAGTGGTCCGATTAAGGTAAACCTACTGAATTTCGTGACATAGTCTACCTGATTTCGCGGTACAGCACCCTAAATTTGTCATAAAGTAGTGGACGGTTTCTACAGTTTGCTTCAACAGTTCTCTGCAGATGGCTTCATAACGGACAAATGTGAACACATGGCAAATTCAAAATGTCATACCAGCAAATAAGATTAGGTTTACAATACATTCCATGGGCCTAGTCTTGTCAATATTCGATTTTCAGTGTTGTTTCCAATAAGAGATTCCAAAAGTTCCCACTCTCAGTAAATTACAAATTTCGCTGTTCAGCTCTCATACAGTGACTTCCCCAAAATCATTATCCACAGGTTGCAGAGCCTTTTGAGTAGCGGAAGCTTTGGCCAGTGTGAAAGGCTTCGTAACTCTTAACATTGTGATGTATATGTCTGCTGGTTGGTTCAGACTAGTGCCTGTGAACTCTCCTCGCTGTAGTTCAAAAGTCTCACAATTGCTCCCCCGAATGTCTATCATGAATCAGTCCTCAAGTCACAAAGTATGGCACTTCATATTTTTATAACTCCAAACTGCTTCCTGTCCCACCGTGATGGAATTAAAAAAGTAAATTTGTAAATTTATATAGAATATTAACAAAAATTTTACATTATTCATATAGTAATGTGTGTATGTACATACATAGGGTACATACGCGGTACCGTAGTTGGTTGAGGCACTATGCCACAAGCCGGAAGGTAGCGGGTTCAAGTCCCGATGAGGTCATTGGATTTTTTCCAATTGACTTAATCCTTCCAGCCGCACTATGGCCCGGGGGTCGATTCAGCCTATAGCAGAAATGAGTACCAGGAATTAATTAAATAATATTCCTAGGGAGTAAAGCGCGGCCGGTGTGTAAGGCTGACAACCTTACCGCCATCTGTGAGCCAATTGTCTAGATAATGTGGGACCCTTAACGTCTCACAGCCCTGTGGGCTTTTACGGCCTGTTACAGGGATAGCTTTACTTTTTTTTTACTTTTTTACTTATGTACATATGTAAAGAAGTGTTGTAGCGTCCTCTCTGCGCCATTTTCAAATAGTTCGCGGGAAGACCGATCAAGGCGCCACTTAACGGCTTGCGTGTGGCCATACATTTTTTAAAATAGTTTCAGGTTTAGCCCTACCTATAAAAATTTAACAGGTAGTAGACGCCTTAAAACACGAAACTCCTCACTTCATATTCCAAGTCTGTCTCTCAGACCCGAGCACTCAGCCGTGTCAAGTTGACTGGACTTTGCACCACATTCTGTGTGTCCTGTGTGCACAGAGCTGTACATAGCCGAGCCTGCACTGCGTAACTCGTCCCCGAGACTTTTCGGCTAGTCTTGCGACCCCATTTTTGAATGATATAGGCCAATGTGAAGAATTGCGAAATATGTGAACGAGTTTATACATCTCAAATATCTCCTAACATTTTAAAGCACGCTACCACCTACATTAATGAATGTAATGTAATGAATGACTTTGCATTTTGCCAAATACAGTAAAATTATATATCCTTACAATTGTCATAGTAAACTGTGATAATTCCCTGTTACGTGAACCCACTCAGCTTTGTGATAGAGATTTAGTGTGTTTTCTGTGAGGTATGAACTTAATTTTTAAATATAATTTAAGTGAAAATCAGCCCTTCCAGGACTCGTATGCTAATAACTTATTGACGGTCTTATTTTCTTCCTGTAGACGGTCACATGACCCTACATAGCGGGGCCACGTGTTATGAGAGCATTCTGTCACAGATGCATTATTTTAAGAACTGTGGTTCCCACGTCACTGACTGTAACAGGTACTGTCTTGTGGAAAGTCAGGACGCATAGTTTGTAGACATTCGCCACCGTTTTAGAGGAACCTGCTACTTCCATCTTCAGGGTAGAAGAGGAACCCCAGGTGGGAAACAAGGACCAGTGATAGCAGCAGTAGAGTGAGGCCGAGGTTAGGCCCAGTCGCGCGAGGCAGACGATGTTACGCAGTGCGAACCGTGTACTTGTCTGTGGTGTTCTCTGTAACGCAGACCTGACCGTGTTTTGTTCTGTTTCCCCCTCCCTCTATCCGGACAGCATCCAGTGCAGTCTGCAGCCCTCAGACTAACTTCAACGACTCAAAAATGCAGCTCCCCTCAGAATTTTTGCTGCTGTAGATACTTGATGAAAATTGTGGAACAAAGTGAGATGATATTGTGGATTTGCATACTGGAATTGTTCTCTTACGCAAGGGCTTATCAAACTGTGGTCAAGACCTCCTAACGACTGCTGTAAGAAGTATTTAAAATGTCATTGTATTCTCGCAGAGTTGTAGCAAGTCAGTAATGTCTAATACAGGTAGATTCTGAAAATCAAAGAACATCTGCGGCCGGCGAAGTATTCCTTTGTCTTTTCATGAGTGTGTATGAACAGTCTATCCTGTATTGTAGGTATAGAGAGGCTGTAAAGCTATTGAAGTTCCTGCCGCCACAGTACAGTCTGCAACAGCATGCGAAACAGCTCTTTCCGCTGACCAACAAAGTGGGGTTCGTCTAAACTTCAGCGATGCGTGGAATATGAAAGTTTCAGGCAGCCTGTCGTAACCGAATCTATAATCCGCCTTCCTTATTGTTGCGATATTATGAATTCGCTACTAAGAGACCAAATATAGTCTGCAGTCAAATTTAACAGCTCTCTATGGATGCTTGTATTATAGATATCCATAGTGGAGTCATCTACAGAGACTATTAAGCTTAAGTACCAAGCACAAACCTAACTGCAAGATACTTCAGTGACTTGCTGGGCGACCAATTTATCGGGATTCTATTTTTGGTTGGGGCATGAGGCGTTTATCTTCCCCACAGCGTTTATGCTAGCTCTGGGGTCCATGAAGCTCCTATTCGACGGACACTGGAGGTTGTTCTCCCGGGGGTAAATCGGTCACACCCTGAAGCTTGCCGAGGTTAAGAACCTTCATAGTCTGGTGTTTAGTTAAGCATATGGACGAAGTTATATTTTACTTTACCTAATTTCGCTGTGATAATTGAGGAGCTATTTCAAGGAAATAGCGGTTCCGGTCTATAAAACCGAAATTAACGGCCGTGGGGATTCGTTGCGCCGACCACGCGATACCCTCTATCCGTTAATGCTGGTACTAACTTTGCTGGCAAG